ATGGCGGCCGCAGAGTTTTTGTCAGCCTGAATGAGACCTACTTTAGGTCGAAACTAGTCGTAGAGCAGCCCATACTTAACGGCTTGAGAAGTGCCAAAAGAGCGAATTGATGAGAATCGAGAAAGAAACAGCAGAATTCATGGCTGATGTTGCGTCTCTGCCACAAAAATGGTTCCGTTCCATCAAAAGTTGTGACATCGACCAGGTCCTCAAGGCTGACTCAAAGAAACCATGTCATAAACCCTTCTTTTGGCCAACGGAGGCCACGTTGAGGGACTTGTTGGCGATAATCCGCAGGCGCAAAAACGATCTGACACAAACTCCGAGATTTTGAGCCCTCGGCCCTCAGCGGAACATTGGGGGTGGGGCAGACGATGTTTAAGGGGAAAGGGGAATGTTTTTCTCCCGTTCTCCAACAAAGAACGATGTCAATAGTCTAATGCTGCTGATCATGTCCATCCTTCTTGGAGGATCCATCAGGTTTTTGTAGCCAGTAACCGGTTCAACCATGGACCAGTGCAGACGTCAGATTTGGTCTTCAAGATGTCCTCATGAAGTCCTTTCATGGGCCTCAAGAACATGATCAAACCCTAGGATTCACGGCCCACCATTGCGTCAATAGATAGCCTGATATCTCGAACAACTGACTGAGCTGTTTTACTGAGGATTTTACACTTCAAAACTAGGTCAACCATTTTGTCTAGAGCCCAAAGTCTAAATGGATCTAATATAACTGAATGTAATTGAAGGCTAGAGCATACCCATTCATTGGGACCTCGCGACCACTTCCCGGTGTCTTTCTTCGATGCTTGATCCGGCCACCCCAGGGTCATCCAGTCGCTTTCTCCAGAGGCCCAGAGGTTGGCCACTTGACAGGACGAACATGCGAGCACCACATGCAAACGCTGCCCAGTTGGTACCTACCAAGATCAAGCAGAGCAGCACCTGATCTAAACGGGGGAGCGAGTATGGAGTACGGCCGTAGGGTGTCGCAAGAAGGTAGGAGGATGTGGTAAAGTGGCAGAACAACGGCCCAAGTGACGGTTTGCGGGCATCTTAATTGACACGACGAGACCAAAACCACCGTATTATATACAAGTCATTGGGGAAGAGTGGCGTGGAGATGGGACGGTGGGTGTATGTATTTGGCAGATGCACGGGTCTAAAGTGATGTAGTGGATCCACCGTGCAAATGATGCGCAAAAAACATTTCGACAGGTTTCAACCCATTGGTGTGTTTGCGAAGATCCACATCATCTCATGGAAAAGGACCCCATACAACGTTGCTTTCAAGGACTGTAGTGACCCCTTCTTGGGAGCACACACATGACATTTAATTGCCTATTATACCTGTTGCACAAGGGTCATGTGAAGGTTTCAACAGGTTTGGTTGCATATTGGTTGCCCCAAAGGAGAAAAAAAATCTTGGTTTTCATCGCATGAGCAGTGCTGGTCATGCTTTAGGGGCTTACAATCTTTTGGGCGAGGGTAGACTAGACGGTCCCTGGTGTCCTAGTAGGTGATGATAATTTTTTTTTGCTGAAGTAGGCTTCCTGTGGCAGATCCTCATGTAGAGGGAGCACAAGTGCACCAGAGTCTCATCATCAGAACTATATAAACTATACGGAGCTGGCCACATTTGTTGTTCCTTCTGGTACCCGTATAGTGGCGCGCTTTGCGTGGGTAGCAAATACCAATGAAGAACGTGGAAGGCACGAACGCATTGAGTTTAAACTTGTAGGTTCTTCACTTGTCGGTCTTCTTGCGCTTCTCTGCTGTGCCTGAATTGGCCTTTGAGGCTGTAAACATTGATTTGGACTTGAAGTGGCATATGCCAGCTTGAATCACGCGGTCCAATAAGAAAGGCTTTCTCTTAGAGCCTCAGAAGGTGCTTGAGATGCTCATCTGAGCTGATTTCTGGTGCAGGAAGTGCTCCAAGTGGCTGTTCATCAGCTTGAAAGTTACAGTAAGTGGTTCAGAGCAGGATCAAAACAAGGCTCTTTTCTAGCGTCCCCTTGGTGTCCGGGTCTGGACTGGAGGACTCACTGGCAGTAGCGCATTGGTCATACTGTTTGTTGACCTGAAACACATGACTCGGCAATTTCTTCCAACCAAAAACGATTCCAAAGATTGCGTCAAACTGGCCGGAAGTCCGCACGATTGTAATCGAAAGAGTCCATTGTCCTGCTGACATGTGCTGCAACTGACGCCGTGTCATCTTGGTCGAAGCCGGTGTAGCACAATGAACTGATGTGTTGACCCGTAGGTGGGTTCATACCGTTTCGAGTAGTAGGCATGAACTCAATGAGATATTCTCGTGCATAATGGAACACTAGGCGGCAACGAATTCCGACCATAGTCCGATGGTCGAAGCACCTATTGACAGCTAAGTTCCCATCTCCAGTAATGTAATGTAACACATGCAGCTTCAGGTAGTGCCTAAGGAAGCGGGAGTAGCAGGCAGCAATCTTGTTCATACCCGTGCCTCGACAAAGGTATTCAGGATATCTGGCTCTATGGACTTGTTGTCATGTGGCATCATAGCACATTGGTGTGCAGCTCTTGAGTTCAGTTTCGGTGTGCCATATAGTGTGGCCTGTATCATCAAACTGAATGGCGGTATAAACTCGACCTTTGGACACTTGTTGTGTTCTACGTGTCGGAACAAATGGTGTAAGGACAGTCCATAATTCGGAACTGTGTGCAACCATGGCTGGCATGGCTCCAAATCTCTTGGCCATAGCTTTCATCTCTGCTTGAATTCCTAGCCAAGAGGCATGACCTTGTGAGAATCAGCAACACCTGCCTCGATTGCTTGAGATCTCGTGGTACGGCAGTCAACCAGTTTTTGACAAGTGATTGTTCCTTGGATGTGCAATTTGCAAGCGTGACTCGCGAAGTTGATCCTGCGCTTATCCAAAGACTGTTTGGCAAACCACCAAAGTCCGTACGCGTGAGGCATACTACCTTGTCGGTAGAAGGTCCTTGCACAAGAATGGCAATCGATATATAGGCCATTGCACTCGGATGATTTCACAGATCATCTTGCCCGTAAGCGCGCCATTGCGGCAGATCATTTGACAAAAGACAGGCTTGGAAATCGGAAAACTGGAGTTCTTTCTATCGAGCATGACCATTGATTTTTGGCAACTTGTGGAGGCACGTGAATGTCACCAAAGCAACGAAAGGGTATTGGAAAGGACTGGAGGACCCGCTGGCTCATGGTCTGACGCAACATCCACGGCATGCGGGCGCGCACGACAAGAGGTCCGGAACGTTGTGTTGTTTCAGACGCATAGTTGGAGAGCAAAATTCAGTAGTTGAAGACCAATCTTCCCGTGGATCCCGCGGCTGGATCATCTATCTCTGCAGGTAGGCGACACCTGCAGTTAGTCTGGTATCGTTCCTACCTTCATGGGTTCCTATCTAAAACGGGTATTCCATGGGTTTCCTCAGACTTCTTCTCCAAGGAGCGAGTGCAAGAAATGCCCCAGTTCCACCACAACTTATGGTCTGAAGTCCATCTCCAAGACGGCGGCTTGTTGAGAGCAAAGGGAGTGGGGATTGGCAGGGCCGCTGTTTATTGCTCGAATTCGTTGTCCCAGACATGGAGCGGTTTTACCGCGTGACCGGTCAGACCTGATGGGGTCGGTGTCAGTGTTTTGGGATGAAGAGGTCCTGTTGATGAACCACCCCCCCGGATCCAGAATGGTTTACATCCCAGGAAGGACGCTCCTACCTTCCGAGGTCGCCGGTTCCGAGGTCACTCCGGTCCTCGGTCCCTCGGTTCGGTCGCACGGCAGGGACTTCACACCGTTTGTGGGGCCGCAGGCGTCGCACGAAACATCGACCTGGAGGTCGTGTGCGGGTCTTGACCTTTTGCAGACAATCTGTGAGACTGGAATCATATACTATACTGTACGTGAAATGTTAGTCCAATGTATCTCGAGTCCAATCGAGTGTAGTATTTTCTTGTCCGGGGGTGGGTGAAAGCAGATCAAATTCAAAGTCGTTCTTTGCGGAACAAGGTTCGAAGTTCCACAGGTGTGTGCATTTGGGTCGGTTTGGTTATCCCACCACGCTGGATGTACGTCCAGTCCAGAAATATCCAGGTTCGACACTTTCCCGATCGGCTCCCTAAAGGCATTCCTTCTGGTCGCCGGCTGGGGTGAACCCCATTGTTGCTAGTAGCTATTCGCTCCTAGTAGTAATGCCAGGGTTACTATAGTAGCGATGCCCTTGTTCCTAGTAACTTCTTGCTACTATGTCTGGAAGCTCATTGATATTATCAGTGGTTTTGGCAGGATAGACGCAAGTTGCAACACCGAGCAATACAAGTTTTGACGGTTTTACCAGTGGCCTGCACTGGTTTGGGGAGTCGAAGAGGAGAAGCTACTCCAGCTTCTTCGAATCCATTTGTGTCCAAGACGTCGGGTTGAAAATCCCATGGAACGCCCATGACGTCGTTGAATGTCTTTTTTGCACTCTGCTCTCCCAAGGGCTCAAGGGTCTTTCTCAAGAATTCGGGAACAATAAGACTCGACCGTAAGACGAAGACCTCTTGGGGGTTTCTCAATGTTTCAGGAACCTGCTCATAGCTGGCAGGCTCTTTGGTGACCTCAGGCTTGGGTCCTTTTTTGAGGGGTCCTGCGCATGTTCGTTGTACTTTGTTTCTTTTTTTGGCGAATTCAGGACTGTGGTTGCGACTCTTGGATTTGCTTTAGACTGATGTTCCGCCAAATGAGGGAGGTTGGAGAATCAATGGACGCGCTCAAAGACATACCTCCAACAGGGGAATGTTCTTAAATCCACGTCTTTGAGTGGATTTCGCATCTAAGTAGCAGCTGACCAGTCAGCTGCCTGCCACATTGTTGTGTTCGGAGCCCGCAACAAGACCGGTCCTGGCTCGCAAGACTCGCAACCAATGATTGTGTGGTCATGGGGTATGCCAACAACACAACCCCCTAAGGACCAATAGGGACCACCCGGCAGTGATACTAGCGATTTAGATGCACCTTCCAAATGGTGGGAAACATTGGAATCCGCTGGGGGACAGTGTTGGCCACAATTGCGCTAGATCGCATTAAAGACACATCGTCCGCGGACCGATGTGTTTTTTCCAATCAACTGTCCTTTTTGGTATCACGGAAAAGGAGCAAACGTTTATCAACATCGCGGAAGAGGACGATCCCGTTTGCACGCCCTGTGGTCCTGGCGCCCCCTGGCCGAAAAGAGCCAGGACATGGAGTTGGTGGTGACCTGCAGGACTGTGGAGTTGCTATCCCTGTAGAGGTCAGTTTGACATCAGTTTATATACTGGAGTTCATCATACAAAAACACAGCTCAATGAGGTAGAGGACCAGCTCTTAGTGGAGCTTTGGACCTGCAGGGATGTTTTACTTTTTGTTTTGTGTGTTTTATTTGATCATTTTTGATGGAAGATCTATCAATAAAGATCGCCAAGCTAAGCTTTCCCTGCACTCCAAGCATAGCCTCATAGACTGATTTGGTCGCCTCAAGAATCCGATTCTCTCGATTGCGGAAGTTCCAGCAGGTCATTTTCCCAAAAGGAAGGAGAAGCCTTCTCTTCAAGATCAGGCCTGGTCATTTGGAAAGCCTGCTGGCATCACCAATCGTCCCTGGATGAATGACCCTTTCAACCACGACAAAGAGCAAACGTCCATCCTGCTTGACTCAAGCGACTTTGGGACCTTCATGCTCGAAGTGGGTGATTGAGATGGTTAAGTTAGTTTTTTTTCTAGGCCATTTCTTGAAGCAGTTGAATGGTTGCATGGGTATCGCCAGTCACAATCAACCCAGCCCAGTCAATCTGGATGTTCAGCTGTTGGTTTGAGGAAAGAAGACAACTTTCGCCCAACTCAATTTTATGGGACACACACTGACCCTTTTATGTGCATGATTTGTGCAGGCTGAACAAATGCAGGTACGACTAGACACGCATGATCTGTACCATGATGGTTTGTACGCAGTGGTCATGTGCACTATAGTTGCACTTCTGGGTCCGAGTTTCCCTGTTTCCCCACCGATCACCGATCCTTTCCACTCCCGGTCACAAGGCATGCGGGCTGGGTGGTTTCGTCCTCATGGGCTTTTTGCAAGAAGGACCTCGCATAGATGATGTCCTTTTTCAGACAGACATACAAGATAAGAAGAAGGATCTTTCTGCAAGCATAGCGACCCTACGGGTTTCGTCCAGATCTTGACCTGCCACCCAGGTCATTTGTCCCTTCTCCTCCAGCATGGCGACCCTGAGCAATGGCACAGCACCACTGGGAGCAGCCTTTGTTCCTCAGATCGTGGCTTGGAAGGAGGTTATTCTTTGGGGTCGGCCCACGATTTCTGTTTCAGGTTTGGCATAATAGATATACGAGTCTGAGTGTTGTTCTTTAAGAGCAAACAGTAAACATCATCATCATCATATATATATATATATATATATGGTACCTGGACCCAAGGGTGTGGGGGAGGAGAGATTGCTGTGCTGCTTCTTTGGAGTGGTCTTGAACATTCTTGAACGAGAATTATATAAGTCTTATGTTCATTCAGAGTCCTGGTTGTTTACTCAGTGGCGGTCGTGTCTGGCTCGAGCCACTGCCATTGCGGTCGTAGGACCGCCCCAAAGGCTGGGCGGCAAAGCTCAACACAGTGAACCATGCAGGCTGCTGCTCAGGAGTCATGTGAAGATACTCCATTCACCATGACACGGCGGAATCGCCACTCAGGCTCCGGGGCATTTCAGCACGAAGGAGGCTCCCTTATCGGTCTTCAAATGCGAAGATGAGGCGTGCCTGGCCTCAAAACGCTCAATTTGGCAGTGTGAATTGAAAGCAGACATCTTGGCATCTGGGGAAATGGCTTGGGGATGGCCTTCGGACCTAGCAACGCCATTTGGGAAAGGTTTCGTGCGGGTTTTGATACGCTTTCGATGATGGGAACCAAACACCTCCGGATCTCACGGGTTTTTCGAGGTGCCGACGGGTCTGATTCGGTGCCTGTTCCTGTGGCGACCCACGTCAGTCTTCACGACCGGTCCATTGGGAGAACCAGCGACGTCCCCCAGAACGACCGGGCCAAGCTTCGAGCCGGGTCGACTGAACGTTCGCACCTTGAAACACCCTTCAGCGATGGCCAATTCCCGACGTAGGCCTCGGTTGATTCATAGGTGGGAGACCCCCCGGGCGTGTACAACATTGTACAACCAGTACATGAGCAAAAATCAAAACCTGTCTTCATGTAGCTTAAAGGAGGCTGGACATCATTTTTGAACATTCTAGTTCATATGATACCTGGCACTGACACCAAGTTTCCCAAGCCACGGACATCGCCCGATGTCCTGGGCGGAACCCAGGCATTGCCCTGGCGGACGCCCCGGCACTTGCGCTTCCGAGCTCTTGGGTGTCCCCTGTGCCGAGTGCATTTCGGGCCTCTCGGTGGCAGAGGGGACGTGAGCGTTATAATGATTTGGGTAATGTAGAGTCAGGGTTTTATTCACCGAGCCAAAGCAGTCTTCACAGTTCACCCATGTTCACCCAAATTGAATAAGTAGTAATGTTGGATCATGATTAGCAGAACGGTTCCCCCTAGCAATCAATCGAGGGAGTTGAATTAGGAATCCTGCCACTAAAAGTAATGGCGGTAGTAGCAGTAGTGGTAGTTGTGGTAGTAGGTAGTAGTAGTAGTAGTAGTAGTAGTAGTAGTAGTAGTAGTAGTAGT